CTATGGTACTTCTCCTCCTGAGCACAGCTGAGGAGATGCTTGCAAAGCCCCCAGCTGCCAGGATCCCAGGAAGCCCTTAACCATCGAATACCCCCTAAGAAAGGAGGGAGAGAAAAGGAAAGTTTTTGGCTTCTATTTTTGATTCGTTTCTTTTTATGGCAGTTCTCACTGTCACGCACAGTGTTGAACTTATCACAGCACTCGCGGTCAGGAAGAGCATGTTTCCTCCCCGTGCCTTGACAGACACCTGGGCTTTTCTTTCTCCTCAGAGCAGTGAGCAGGGTCTTCTCTTAGAGTCAGGTGGACGCAACCTGTGCCCTGAGGTCCTGTGCTGGCAAGGCAGGGGCGATCTCGGGCCTCCCCGTTTTCCACTTCTTTAGCTGTTTTATTTCTTTGCCTGGATTATTTTCACCCCTTGGTGAGTGGGTAGGGAAGATTCCCAATGAAGACAAGCACTGTGGCTCCTGGAGATGCTATGGTAACATCTCTGCATGCCTAACCCGTTCAACTGCTTTCAGGAGAAGCTGGTAGCTTTGTTCTGCTGCAGTAGTCGCTTTGGTCGCTCAGAAGTGCGTCCCTATGCAGACCCCCTGCCGAGTGGGTATTTCGTGTGATGCACTAGAGGGTTCATGTTCCCCTGAGGGGGAGAAAGTGTGATGGGTGTTCAGCCAGCTGTAACATTAGGATTCCTGTTCTCAGGCATGCCAGGTGGGATCTATCAAGACACAGCCTGATTAGGATATTTCAAAAATTGCATCTGCTCAGCTGCTTTGCTGCAACCAAAACAGCCAAGAATTTTGCAATGTAATAGTCATGACTAAATGCCCCCCCCCACTTCCGGTTGCTAGATCCACTAGGTGATGGAATATCTGTCAGCTTAAACAACTAAGCACAGTCAGGGATGTATTTCCACCAGGATCAGTAGGTAGGCAAGTGTTTCAGAGGCTGGGCAACGAGGGAGAGGTGGTGCGTGAGTGGGATTATCCCAGCCCATCCTTTAGGGTAGAACTCATTCATGTGTTACTTGAATGTCTTTGCTTTGTACTTTGTGATGTTTTTCATTACATGTGATGCTTCCCATCTTACAGTGGGTTCTGCAATGGTTGGTGTTCTAAAGTTTCATGAAATTGTTGTGTCCTTCCACTGTTAGAGCCTCATGGAGGCAAGTTTGGAAAGGACGCAGTAAAAAGAAAAACATCTTATCATAGGTTCTCCTTGCATAGATCGGTTTCCATGGACCTAAGGATCTGCAGTCCTGATGGAGATTTACAGCTTTGCTGCTCCCATAGGACGGTGCTCATGGGTAGGTGCCTCTAGTATTAGCACAGAGGCAATGTTTGACTCATGCCAATAGGAGTTACTCTGACAGTCCAAAAGGAGAATAGATGTGGATCCATCTGGTATTACCTGTGCTTTTTGCTCATGTATCATGGCCCAACCCGTCCTCATTGGAGAGCTAAATTTAGGCAACTCAACAGACATCTGTAAAGACAGAAGCCAATTTTTTCACTCCCATTGGATTGAATAGAAGCTATGGATATCTCAGCTCCTCAAGATAGCTTCCAGTGAGCTGTAAACGCTTATTTCACTGCCTTGGTAATGAATCATGTGACTAAAATGAACCAGTGAATTTGGGAAACTGTTACCTGTGCAGTGCAGTAATAAATGGCCTGTTAAGTGCTGCTTCTAATTCTGCACCATTGCAATTGCAGGTCCTCATACAAAAGTGGTTCGCCGCATTTTTACCAATAGCCGGGAGAGGTGGAGACAGCAGAATGTCAATGGAGCTTTTGCAGAGCTTCGCAAACTCATCCCTACTCACCCACCTGACAAGAAACTGAGCAAGAATGAGATTTTACGCCTGGCTATGAAATACATCAACTTCCTGGCCAAGCTGCTCAACGACCAGGAAGAAGAAGGAAACCAAAGGGGCAAGGTGAACAAAGACTCTGGGATAGTCCAGGAAGATCTCCTGCAGGACATGTTGTCTCCTAACTCTAGCTGTGGAAGTTCTTTAGATGGAGCAGCAAGCCCAGACAGCTTCACGGAAGAACATGAAACACTAGATTCAAAGCACACACGGAGCATGCATCACTCCATTCTCCCTGTAGAAGGCAACGCGCAACGATGATGACCTTCCAAACTGCTCCTAAAGCACAAAGGGAAAAGGAAGACCTAAGTATGTGGATACTGGAATTTGTACCCTTGGAATTTCTGACTCTGCATTACAGAAGGCCTCGGGGACTTGGGCTCTGAGTTCTCGCAGCCCCAGGACTGAGAGGACAGTGAGTTGGCTGAGAACAAGACCAAAACAGATTGACGTTCGACATTTAGGTACGTGATCGTACAAAGAAGAAAAGCATTGAAGTCATCTTCATTGTACATATTGCCATGATTTGACTCTGAGGAGGGGAATGAAACACAGCCAACACCTCTCCAGCATTTAGAGGGTTTTCAGACCATCTGACAATTGTCATTTTTTAAACAGAATATTCACCCAGCTGAGACACGAAACATGAAATTCCTCTTTCACTGCCAACTGAGGCCACTGACGCTTTCCAGCGGCATGTGGCACTGGAGACTGCTGAAATCTGTCAGTGCTACTGCATTTCTCCAGCCTGTGGCAAAGAAGTATATGCAACTTGTCTGAGCAGAAGCTGTGGCAACGTGTTCATGTTGTCCGAAAGCTTTTGACTGTACCTTTTTAAAGAGGTGAAAAATACCCTCAGCAAAAGAACTATTAAAAGGATTAAGACTTTTTCTTTTTCTCTTCCTTTTTTTTCCCTCTTTTTTCTTAAACCTAACTTTGAATTGTTTGGGGTGTTGTATTTATGATGCGGGATTACTTCTGTTTAATACCGTCATGCAGTATCCACTGAACAAAAAGGTACATAGGTGTTTTCTGCTCTCCACCGCCCTCCGAGTCCCTGATCCTTGTGCTGATAACATACAGCTGGTGAGAGTCAAGGCCTGTAGTGGTCACCTAGAGCTTTCCCAGTGGCTTCTGTAGGGCAGAGCTTCTTTCAAGGAAGATGAATTTCAGAATTAGTAAGGAAAAAAATTACTAGGGAAGCTTCCCCTTGGACCTGGGGACTCCTTTTTTTGATTAAAAAAGCAACAAAAGACAATATCAATAGTGTAACAACAGTGTGTGTGTACATAGGGTTATAAAAAGGTTTTAATGGTATACTTTGAATTTTTTGTTTTTATTGTGTGAAAATGGTGATAGTTCACCTCTGCCAATTCTCACAGGCTGGATTTCAGGCCCTGGATTCAAATTAAGGCATTAGTCGGATCCTTGTCTGCCCGAGGCTGGTAAGAGGCCACAGCTTCTCACAATCTTGGGGTGAAATGCTAATAGTGCTGATGGGATTACCCGCCGTTCCCAAGAATTTAGATAGCTGCAAAATTGATAAGCCTGATCATGCTAAAACAGGAATAATCCTCTGACCACCGCTGCCCTCCAGAAGGGCATTTGAGAAACAAAAAAACTCAAAAGCAGGAGGTGGTTTCATGACCCCTAGAAACTGGTGCTGTTCCACTGGCTGCAAGTACGATGCTGACTGATGTGAGCTGAGGACTTCGCCTGTGCCCACCCCAGGCCCCGTACAGGCATCCCGCGCCCGTTGCCTAAGGACTGACAGAGCGATTGCCCCAGGCCCATCCATTCCCTATGCAGAGATTTCAAGGCAAAGAAATCTCCACCGTGTCACAGTAAAAAAATACCCCATTCTTTGTAAGGGAAAAGTACGCAGAGCGAGGACCCTTTCCATCATGCTAATTCCTTTCCGGAGATGCTGAGGTACAAGGAAGCGCAGAGGATTTGTGTGTGTGTGCGAGAATTCAGGCCCGTTATTTGCAAGCTAGATCCAGGCTTACTTTGGAGTTTAGTCATTTCTATTCCTTGTTTTTAACTCTTTGCACCTCTTTGTAAATAATATATGTAAGGCTGGCTTTTCTCAACAGAGTGCGCTGAGTGGAAAGTATTGCCCGGGAAGGGATCCCAGCACGGACAAGGGTTTCCAGCTACCCCCTCATATCCTCCGAAACTGGAAGCCTCACTGATCTTAAATCAGGGAAAAGGAGGAAAAATCCTTCCCAGGTCAAGATCGCTTCTATATGGAGATTTTTAATAAGAGGGGCTACCTGGTGGGGCTGGGCAAGGGCAGAGGTACCTGGTGATGAAACGATGCCGAGGAAGAAGAGAGGCTGCTACCAGTCCCACGTTTTGGGCTGTTTGTTATGGGCTTGTCCGGGTCTGAGGGGCAGAAGAGGAGGGCAGAGGGGTTTCAATAGGAGCCCAGTGCCCGTAGCCAGGGTTGTGGGGCACGGCCCCGAGCCACTGCTGGCCAGGGTCCCCTCGGACGCTGCTTGCAAATGCTGGCCCTCCTTGGGAGGGGGAGAGACGCTGTCACACAGGTAAAGCCATATTCTCAGTTTTAAACCCTTTCCGGGGGAAATTATTGCAAGGAAAATCACCAATGCTCAGAATTTCCTCATTCCCCACATTTTTTTTTCTTTTCGGTAGCTGAAAAGTTAACAAAATGGTACAACCTTTCCAACATGAACATGAACACACGTACATGCGCACGCGCACACACACACACCCCTGTTTGTAGCCTCCTAGCAGAACACACCGTAGGCCTCTCTGGGGTATGTATAGTTGTACTTTAATTGTGATTTGAATGGTACATTTTCTCTGTCCATCTTTCCTCCTGCCTGCTTTATGTCTCGGTGTGTGGAACATCACCCCGTTTCTGTTTGAAACAGCACTTTCGGTCAATGTCGTACCGTGTGGTTGAATTCTCTTCTTACGATTTTTTTCAGCCCTGTCCCTTTCTCTCCCACCTTCCCCTTTGATTTCTGCATTTTTTCTGCAGAAATGAAGTAACCAGACCTGGTACCCTGATTCTCGACCCACTGTGGATGTGCTATTTAGAAAACACATTTGTTGAAATGTGTGTGTATATATAAATATATATATATAATGAATATATCAAGGATATTTCTAAATAAAGTTTTACAAAGCAGCCTCCGCTTGCTTTCTTCCTCTCTCCCATCTTGTTGCTCAGCAGTTTGGTCTCTCACTGGTGTGCTTTACGGGGCAGAAGCCCTAGGACAGCCCGTATCCAGCCACCAAAAGTCACGAGGCAGGCAGCAAAAAGCTTGCAAGGTGTTTTACTAAATCTCAAAAGATCAGGGTGGGAACATTGGTTTGTCCTTTTAAGTTTAAAAAAAAAAAATCTAGTGAACATCCCAGGTTTTTGCCACGTGCTGCCGAGCTCCCGGGCTGGTGGCAGGGTGCCTGCGCGAGGGCTCACGCCAGCGTTGCCTCGGTCCCTATTTGTGTCCTTCGTGCAGACAGGAGACCTGGCCCAGGTGCAGAGAGAGAGCTTGACGCACAAAACCGCCCGGCGCTGCCGCCAGCCCCGCGTCCTGTCTCCGGCTGGGGCCAGCGGCTTTTTACCCCCGGCTCGGATTTTAGAGAACAATTAGGAGGAAGGGAGCGCGAGGAGGGCAGGAAGGAAGGAGAGCTGTGAGGCAATCCTCCTGCTTCATGTGATCGTTACAAACGAGCGCGTTGTTATTCACAGCAGAGGCTTTGG